GTGAACATTTGGGCGGCGTTATGCAAATCTTCCCACATAGTGAGGTAGACATGTGGGGGCGTGTTAGAACGAGCCGTTTTAGGTAGGTGTGGCTGACTCTTAACTTTTATAAAGAATATCTCTTTGGATTTGAGACTTTAGTCTTTGCAACTTTACAGATCTTCTTTATGCACCAAGAGCTCGTAACACTCCAAAGAGAAAGGACAAATTGAAATCGCATCATATAACCCCTTTAATAATGTGTAATTATTCTGTGGACAAACAACGTGTGTGGTTATATTTTTTCTATTGGCTATTATCAAAATGACTACTTCTAGAAACAACAGAAATAATAATAATAGTAATTAAAAAACAATTAGGTTAGCAATTGAATTCAAGCAACATTTTCAGTCATCTTATTAAAAAAAGTGAGCCATCCTACTTTTAAAATCACTTGTGATGACAACTAATAAAAAGTTTAGTATCACAAAATTCTTGCAAAACTTTAAAAAAACATTATTGAAAGAAAAATTGGATGTTTCACATCCTAATAAAATAAATTATTACACTATTATGGTCTTGGTCTCCGGTCTGAAAAAAAACCTGCATGTGATTTGGCATTTCTTTATGTTTACTAACGCTGCTCAAATGTGCCATTAATGTACTGACACAAAAATATATAGTGTATTTTATACAAATATAACTGATGTAAATGACAAAAACAAAGTTTAAGGCGGATGTCTCTATTCACTTTCACAGAAGCAAAGCAGATGTTATAAATAAAAACAGTTAACGATGTTATTTAATAGAATAGATTAAAACCGTTATTGCACGACATAGGCCTTTTCTTATATGCTGCACAGACAAAACTGTCGGAGATGCGTTTATGCATTTTTTTTCTTTCTATTTTACGCATTAGTAGTAAAACAAGACTTCGCAAGTTCGCTTGTAAAATAAAATAATACAAAAAACAACATGGAATAAACTGTACAGAGAGCGAGTAAAGAACTCAACATTAAGCTACTAAAAAGGTCAGTTTAGTCTCGCAAAAACTCCCATTAATAAAAAATCTGACTACACTGCACAATTAATCTCTCACACTGCATCTTCGTTGTTTATGATGAATTCGGTGCTTGCACGTACACCGCTTTTATTATTATTGCAGCTTAGATGTTCAAATAGCTGCAGTACTCCGACTTTGCCACAAGGAAAAGTGCATATGCCTGCTCAGACCCTGATGTGGCGGGAAGTTAAAAAATCTGACTACACTGCACAATTAATCTCTCACACTGCATCTTCGTTGTTTATGATGAATTCGGTGCTTGCACGTACACCGCTTTTATTATTATTGCAGCTTAGATGTTCAAATAGCTGCAGTACTCCGACTTTGCCACAAGGAAAAGTGCGTATGCCTGCTCAGACCCTGATGTGGCGGGAAGTACTTTTCCATGTCAAAGACCGTTTTTATAAATATGAACGTTATAAATTTATAAACGAGGCCCCAGAACTGTAAAAGCAACTAAAATATGAAAGATTTTGACAACTGACTTACTCTGGTTGCCATGTTAGCAGGCACACTATGTTTTTTTCCATGCAACAAAATCATATATTGACCAGGGGCTATAAACCAAAAATGGCCATATGACTATTGTGCTACATTCCAAGTCATACAGTAGGTTTGTGTGAGAAACATCTGCATTGAAATTTAAGTCGTTATTGACTGAAGATTTTCCACTGTCGTAGCTCTCAAATCTCATTGACATCATTGATGCCAAACACCACTGGTCTTCAAATGTCTCATCACCAACCAAGTTTGAATGTGCTGCGACAGAGGGGAAGACTTTCAGTGAAAAGCTATTGTAGAACACTCTCATAGTGTGTTTAGACTGAAAGCCCCTGGTCATTAGTTGCAGTTGTGATATGATAAAGAGTAACAGGTGAGTTTTCAGTATCAGGTGAACTTTGCCTTAAAGCTTACACCGGGATGCAAACCTTTAGTGTATATGTTCTGGTCCATGAGGTTTGTGTTTATATTATTAAAAGAATTATGTTTTTCCAAACCTGTATGACTTTTTTTACATGTGTGGTTTCTGTGTTTTTTTCCTTCTTTTTTTAATATTACTTGAAATAGTGGGTATATCTTAATAAATCATATTGACGATTTATTTTTTGGTGTTGGTTTTTATTGGTTAGGTCATCCAGCTACCTTACCTTTCAGTTATCTTAAATATATAATTTACAGGGGGAAAATACAGATAAATTAAAAGTTGCTATATATTCTCAGTGTTGACATCATTAAGCATCTGTAATAATACTGCAACACCATTCACCAAAAGAAGAAAAATCACTAATGGAGTCGATCTAATTCATATTTAAGAGCACAATATGACAGGTGACAATAGAGGTACAAACACATCTGCTATGTGATTAATTCACAGATGAGTCGATCCTGTTTCCAACCGCAGAACAATCGAGCGAGTCCAAAAGAAACGGGAGTGATGTGTTGCACAGCCTGGGATGATGCAGGGATCCTAATATCCAAACGTGTTTTCTCCACTGTAGGCCACGTACAAAAAGCCGTCCTCATCTTTTTCTTTTTCGTAGAGCTGCCCCATAGTCAGACTGAAACAAGAATGGAGATTGTTAGTGTTTTGACATTTATAGAAATGTATACGAATTTTTGCACCGTTATTTTATGAACACTGCTTTGAAAATTAAACAAACAAAGAAAAATAGTTTTTGACACACTACTGAACCACATGAAGTAATAGGCAAGGAAAATCTCAATTTGTGAGAAAATGGCAAAAGTAGTCATCAATGAATACCTCTGAACAGATTAATCCAAATAATAATAATAAAAAACCTATTATTTATTATTTTGCAATGTTCTCAAGCATCAGTAAACTAGAGAATATCAGGTGAGTTTATCTGAGATGGCAGTTGGAGGAGGTAAATAGAGATCATTTAGAAATGGTTGTAAAAGGAGGATGTTGGGTGTGACCTGCGGCATCACAGGAAAACATTTCAGCTGGCCTCCTTCGCATTCACACGAAATCTGATGCCATATCTTCAGTTACTGGACACAATCACAGCCCTATACAGTTTCATCAGCATGAATGGTGCATGTTCAGGATGCAATTAAAGTAAATCTACATTGTGAACATGTTTGCTGTATAAGGAAATGCTAGACTCCTGCAGATGTTTCAGTAAACTGAATTCCTATATCTGGCATGTCATTGTCCTCTATTTCCTGGAATATTTGCATGTGGGTGGTTTGGCGTGTTAAAAGGTACTGTTCTTTTTCTATTGGTGCATACAAAAAGTCCATAAAAGTTCATAAAAAATGTGCTAATTGACATTTAAAGAAAAATCTTACCAAAAAATAAACTAGTGCTGTTCCTGTGGGCAGGGTTTGCTCCATGTAAACAGTGCTTTACACACAGATACAGGATGTCACTGTTAACGCAAACCGAGCCGTACCGAACCGTACCGAGCCGTACCATGCAGTGGAAAAGCGCCAAAAGTAAACAGGGTACTGGCTTTACTGCTTTTGTCTTAGTGACTTTGCAGGGATGACATATTTTTGTAGGCCAAAATAGATTCCATCAAAACTCATCTACTCACTTGCCAGCTTTCACAGCCTTGTTTGTTTTATTCGAACAAAAGATGAACTCAAGCATTCAGGGAATGTTTTTAGACTGATAGAGTTGTGGGAAGTTTATTGAGGGTGATGTTGAAATCACGAGACTGTGGTGTAGTTTATTTATAACCTACGCTTTTTACTTCTTGCAATTAGGAGTGGCATGTTCATTTGAGAAGATTATCATGATGAATATAATGTGTAAGACTCATAAACCCTTTGCTGGTCACAGAGCTTATTTTCTGCAATAATTAATATATTATTATCATTTTTATTATTATTAATAATTCAATAATTCAGCCAATGGAAAATCCTATTGGGATTATGTTGAGAGAGCCAGGGTGATGCTAATTTCCGGGTTGACCTACAAAAATATGTCATCAGTAGTAACACTCTATTCTATCTAATTTCTCTCGTATCATTTCAGTCGTATTTTTGAAACGGAGTTTTAAAGTTTATCACCTGACTCTGTGTGCCTCCATTGTAAACGCATTACTGTCACCAAAAATTTTGTTTAATACTTTTGTTTTTATAGGCAATGTACAGTGGGAAAAAATATTTGTTTGATCCCCTGCTGATTTTGTAAGTTTATTCAGCCAATGGAAAATCCTATTGGGATTATGTTGAGAGAGCCAGGGTGATGCTAATTTCCGGGGTTGACCTACAAAAATATGTCATCAGTAGTAACACTCTATTCTATCTAATTTCTCTCGTATCATTTCAGTCGTATTTTTGAAACGGAGTTTTAAAGTTTATCACCTGACTCTGTGTGCCTCCATTGTAAACGCATTACTGTCACCAAAAATTTTGTTAAATACTTTTGTTTTTATAGGCAATGTACAGTGGGAAAAAATATTTGTTTGATCCCCTGCTGATTTTGTAAGTTTACCCACTTACAAAGAAATGAAGGGTCTGTAATTTTTATGGTAGGTTTATTTTAACGGATAGAGACAGAATACCAACCAAAAAAAATCCAGAAAAAACACATTATATAAAAGGTTAGAGACTGATTTGCATTTCAGTGAGTGAAATAAGTATTTGATCCCCTACCAACTAGCAAGAATTCTGGCTCCACAGACTGGTTATGTGCCCATGTGGAACACAGATTAGTCCGGTCATTTTAAGAAGTTACTCCTAATGTCAGCTCGTTAGGTGTATAAGACATCTGTCCACACAATCTGTATCTTCCATTCCAACCTCTCCCACCACCATGGGCAAGACCAAAGAGCTGTCAAAGCATGTCAGAGACAAGATTGTAGATCAGCACAAGGCTGGAATGGGCTACAAGACTGTTGGTGCGATTATTCGGAAATGGAAGAAATACAAAATAACAATCAATCGGCCTCGGTCTGGAGCTCCGTGCAAGATCTTGCCTCATGAGGTAAGGATGATCATGAGAAAAGTGAGGGATCAGCCCCGAACTACATGGGAGGAGCTTGTTAATGATCTTAAGGCAGCTGGGACCACAGTCTCCAAGCAAACCATTGGCAACACACTACAACGCAATGGACTGAAATCCTTCAGCACTCGCAAGGTCCCACTGCTCAAGAAGGCACATGTACAGGCCCGTTTAAAGTTTGCCAAAGAACATCTAAATGATTCAGAGAAGGCTTGGGAGAAAGTGCTGTGGTCAGATGAGACCAAAATTGAGCTCTTTGGCATTAACTCGACTCGCTGTGTTTGGAGGGAGAGAAATGCTGACTATGACCCCAAGAACACCATCCCTACAGTCAAGCACGGAGGTGGAAGCATTATGTGTTGGGGCTGTTTTTCTGCTAAGGGTACAGGACGACTTGATCTTGTACGAGAGCCTCCTTCCCTCAGCCAGAACACTGAAGATGGGTCTTCCAGCATGACAATGACCCAAAACATACCGCCAAGGCAACAAAGGAGTGGCTCAAGAAGAAGCACATTAAGGTCATGGAGTGGCCTAGCCTGTTCCAGACCTCAATCCTATAGAAAATCTGTGGAGGGAGCTGACACTTCCAGTTGCCAAACAACAGCCAAGAAACTTTAAGGATTTAGAGAGGATCTGTAAAGAGGAGTGGATCAAAATCCCTCCTGAGATGTGTGCAAACCTGGTGACCAACTACAAGAAACGTCTTACCTCTGTGCTTGCCAACAAGGGTTTCTACACCAAGTACTAAGTCATGTTTTGCTTGGGGATCAAATACTTATTTCACTCACTGAAATGCGAATCAATTTATAACCTTTATATAATGTGTTCTTTCTGGATTTTTTTGGTTGGTATTCTGTCTTTATCCGTTAAAATAAACCTACCATAAAAATTACAGACTATTCATTTCTTTGTAAGTGGGCAAACTTACCAAATCAGCAGGGGATCAAATAAATATTTCCCCACTGTACTTAGTAGAGTCTTTGTAATAAATAAAGCAGCATTTTACCTGGACTGAGGGACAGTTTTGTCCACAAAAAGGAATATGGCTTTTTCAGAAGGCAGCTGGATCCGCTTTCTGATGATCCACATGAACTGAGCCACTGTAATGTCAGATGGGACCAGATACTTTCGCTTGTCAATGTCCACAATCTGTGAACCAGATACTTTCTCTACAATAACCTGATAAACACAAGAGAGAGCAAACAAATGGCAATCATGTGTTACAAAGTATGTCTGGTTTGTCTGTTACACACACAGAATCAGCAAAGAGTGGTCCGTTCACACCAGGGGTGGTTCTAGTATTTCATCCTCAGGGGGGCTGAGCCCTCAGAGAGACCATTAGATACAAAGATACAAATGATCTAAACGTAACAGTGCTTGTGAAAACCATTACTCTATGAAGTAAATATACACAAAGCTACAGAAGTTACATGGTTAAGACAAGAGCAGTGAGTGATTCTCTATTTTTCTTTTGTTGTTTGATTAACATTATTTTGTGTGTATTTACTCAAGAAGAAGTGAAATAGAACTTGTTATTTGCGTGCTGTTTTTTCGTGTGCATGCTTCACGTGTGTGCGTGCACAGAAACGATCCATCCTAGCGCGCGATTGAGATCTCTTTCGCACTGTCTTGTGCTTGAATGGCTTAAATCACTTAAATTTTTAAACTGACAAGACTTAATACATGTGAGAATGATAAACTTTCTTGAGGAAACAGCACTGGCTCAATCGTTCAGGTAGCTGATTATAGTTTTAGGAGGGCTGAGACGACAGATAGAGGGCTCTCTAGTAGGGGCGTGTCTACGTGGTGGCCAGGGGTGGCACTAGCCCCCCCTGAAATTTGTCTGGCCACCCCAGGTGTCCCCCCACCAGATGTCTTGCGATAGGCTTGCTTTTATTAAATTTCTAACTGCATCTGGCAGTGGCGGATCCTGGCATGTGTAGGCAGCTGCCTAGGGCCGCTTTCTTCTCTTCTTTATACTTAATTTTAGGCGGTTTCTATAGTGTGATCTTAATGACAATGTCGAGAGTGCATAATGTTACGCGATCCATGTGTGCGAGGACGAATCTCTCCACTCCCAAGCAGATTTCCTTCACTCACATAAAACTGGACGTGTGCTTTTAATTAAATATTGTTCTTTTATGAATTGGCTCTGCTTTGTCACTGTCTCTGTCACTCTTTGTTTAGTGAGTGTACACGATGTATTATAACATACATCGTTCCGCAAACACAAATGGATGATTTGTTTTTCTAACTCATCCATTTAAATTATATTAAGCCTTAAAGTTCTGCATAATTAAGGGCGTGGCCACTTGAGTGACAGGTAGATTGCCGCTGCTGTCACTACTAGCCACTTGTTTGCTGTCTGTTAGCCGTCACGTCACCTCATGCTAATTCCAGCCTCTGAACTTGGCATCCCTGCCGTGTTATGCTTTTTTTCAGGATTATTTCATACAAATATCAAATAATATGGCTTGCTGTGCGGTTAATTGTACTAACAGACTGTCCAAGAAGTCTGGGCTCCATTTTTTCCAGTGAGCGAAATTCTAATATAATTTTATTTATTAATTTATTTAACTTATTTGAAATCATTTATTTATTATTCATAATTTTATTTAAAACTTTACTACACTCGACAGACTGTGATTAGCTGTAGGCTGAAACCTATAGCATATAGCATTAGCTCCTTAGCCTGAGCTAATTTGATCACCTCAGCTCCACCCACGTCCCACCTCTTTGCCCATTTTTGATTATCTGGGAGTGATGTGATGGTGACTGCCGGCTCCACTCACTTTGGGCTTCAAAAATGCTCTACATCTAAATCTACAGCTGACACTACGTCCATTGCTTTATACAGTCTATGGTTCACACCAAGAGTGAAACAAATATCTGTCGGCATAAATCAAAAGCAAATTCACTCCAGCACAATAGATGGTGCAAGCGACAACACACTTTCAGATGGCCTGTCTAGTTCAACACTCATTTTAGCAATAAATATAAAAAAGGAAATACAGACAAGACTTTAAAGTCATGCGTGTATTTTGTATGGCAGAATTTGATCAAAGTTGACAGCAAAAACATTCAGTATTAAAAAAAAAACACTCAAACGTTACCATTTTTCTATGAATTTTGATTTACTTAGAGAATTTTTTTTTTTTTTGTCAGATAAGTAAAGAGTGCCGTGCCTTAGTCATTACTAAATGAACCCAATGTTTACACGTCTTTTGTTTCTTATCCTAAAATGGATTTGCGTTAACTAACATTTTATGCAAATAACTCATTGATCGCAGGTTATGTTTGTAGTTCAAAGGCTCATAAACTGCAAACACTGATGTTCTAGGCTTGTGCTCAAAATGTGTGGAAGGAAAAAAAGACAACAGCTGATTCAGAAT